GTCACCAAAACTGCATTAAAATAATGTATACATGAAAAAGAAAATGAAATATGTGTATATATCTTTATTATTGACTAATTGTATAACGGGAATTCTTTTCACTTCTTCGATATATTTAAAAAAGAGAGAAAAAAAAATTCTTTTTAATAATTTCAATGTATTTTATTCAAACAATATTTCAAAGTTTCATAATAATTTAAAATATATGTTGTCTATTTTTAGAGAAATATTTACTTGAAGCAAATAATTTTTATTTAAATCAAAGAAATTATATTTGAATCGATAATTCTATTTTATTCAGATAATAAATATTACTTGAACAAAATACTATTTAAAATTGACTGATATAAAAATTATTTGATACAAAAAAATATTTAGTCACTCAAATATTAATTTGAGACAAGTAGTAGTTTATTTAAATCAAATAATTTTTTGTAGTGTTGATTCGAGAGAAGAGAAAGAAAAAAGAAAAGAAAGAAAAGAAAAAAAATCGAGAGAAGAAAAGAAGCGAAAAAGAAAGAAGAAAGAGAAGAAAAGAAGCGAAAAAGAAACAAAAGCGAGAGAAAAAAAGAAGATAGGGAAGAAAAAATGCGAAAAAGTAAAAAAACGAGTGAAGGAAGAGGAGAAAATGTGAAAAGAAAAGCGAAAGAAAGAAGAAAAAAAGCGAAGAAAGGAAGAGAAGCAAAAGAAGCGTGAAAAAATAAAGAAGAAAGAGAAAAAAAGAGAAAGTGTGGAGAAAAAAGCGAAAGAAAAAAGAAAGAAAAGCGAAAGAATAAAGAGAAAGAAAGAAGAAAGAAAAGCGTAGGAAGGAAGAGAAGCAAAAGAAACGAGAGAAAATAAAGAAGAAAGAGAAGAAAAAGAAGAAAGTGTTGAGAAAAAAGTGAAAAAGAAAGAAAATCGAAAAAAAAGAAAAGCGAAGAAAGAAAAACAAGAAAAAAAAGGCGAAAAAAAGAAAAAAAAAGCCAAAGCAAAAAGAAAACCTTCAGAATAAAAAAAGAAAGAAGAAAAAGAACCAATAATTAAAAAAATGTAAAAAAAAATCAAAACTCGAGTTTTTAAAAAATTTTCCACAAAACAATGAAGAAATGAAGAAAACAATAGAAGATCAGAAAATTCCCATTAATTTCAATAACCACTGAGAAGCAATGCATATTTGAGAAGCTTGAACAAATGACCAATCAATTTTTTATTTACTAAGTACTCGAATAAATTAGAAGGGTTGGATTATAAGTTTGACCACAAAGGCGCAAGCGCCGTGACCGATGACCACATTGTGTAGTCCTTTCCCTATAGAACAAACTTACATCCCCTTTTACACATATAGTACTCTAAAATTCAACTTACCCATATTTTCCTTCCAGTAACCGGCAAAGTCGCTCTTTCATATAATCCTAAAAAGTATTGACAGAAAAAAAAATTTGTTTACCTACAATTTTTTTGTGAATAAAAATTTTTTTCTACACATTTATCAATGAAAAGTTTATGAAAAAAAGAATAATAATAATAATAGTAAATATTTTGTGAAAACTAAACAAATTTTTTAAGTACCAGGAGGTAGAATAAGTAAATAAAAATTAAGTCTTCACGAAACTCTGTTCATGCCCAGTTGGGTGAGTATTGTTTATATTTAAAAAAAAATCTATTATTTTTTCAAACTATTTTTATGGTAATTTTCTAATTTTACACTTTTTTTATTATTTACCCAATTTTACTTTTTGTATTATAATAATAATAATAATAATAATAATAATTATTATTATTATTATTATTATTATTATTATTATTATTATTATTATTAATAATAATATTATTACTAAGGATTTTATAGATTTTTATTTATTTCTTTATTACTTATTTTTATTAATATACGTATTATTATTATTTTATTTTTATTAATAATATTATTATTATTATTACTAGCAAATGATACGCGCGCTGAACGTGACGTTCTATTTATTATTATTATTATGCAAATTACAAAATATTTTATTTTCAAATATAAATTTTTAAATAATTCCAAAATCAAAATTTAAAAATTCACTTATTAAGTACACAATTAATTATTATTGTTTATATTTTCAAAAATTGTAATATAATTCTTCGCAAGAATTCAATTATTTTTAAAAATAGTAAATTTTTTTTTGCAAAAATTCAATTATTTTTAACAAAATTTTAATAAAATTTCACGAAAGAATTCAATTATTTTCTAAAATCTTAATAAATCCTTCGAAAAAATTCAATTATTTTTATAAATATAGTAAATTTCTTCTTCGCAAGAATTCAATTATTTCCTAAAATTTTAATAAATTCTTCGAAACAATTCTACTATTTTTATAAATACTAAAATTCTTTGCAGGAATTAAATTATTTGTAATTCAATTTAAATAAAATTACACTAAAGAATTTAATTATTTTCAAAAATTTCCATAAAATTCAATTTCAACAAAAATTTAAAATTCTCTAAAAATAATTAAATTATTCTCTCAAAATATTTTTAAAAAATTCTATATAAAAATTAAATTACTTTCAATGCAATTTTTAAATATATTCGTCAAAAAATTGAAAGAATTCAATTATCTTCAAAATATAATAAAATTCTTTACAGAAATTCAATTATTTTCGAAACAACTTTGATTGAATTTCTCGAAAGAATTGAATTATTTTCAAATATTTACATAAAATTAATTTATTTCCTAAAATTTGAATTAATTCTTTTTTTCAATATTTTATAAATATTGAAATTCGTCGCAAGAATTAAATTATTTTTATAAATAATAAAATTCTTTTCAGGAATTTAATGAAATTTTTTGATTTTTGGTTGTTGTTGTTGTTGTTAATATTATTGTTATTGTTCATATTATTTAGTACTAAATATTTATTTACTTATTTATTCATTTGTTGTATTTTTATTATAAATAATTTACAAGCAAAACAAATTAAAATTGAAAATTTTTATAAAATAGAAAAAATAAATAAAATAGAAAAAAAGAAAAAAACAAAAAAGTTATTTGACGAAAAAAGTGAAGTTAATAATCAAAAAGAAAGAAATGTTTGAAATGTGTCGTTTGCTTCGAAAAGTATTTTACAGTCTCTCAATTACAGTCACGAAAAGCAATTGATTAATTTTTCGTTAGTATAAAAAGCAACAGGAGGCATGTGTAACAAAAAGGAATGTTTAGACGCATTAACTATGTACTGCATGAGTGATAATGATTATCAAAAAAAAGGAAAATAAAAAATTTATAAAAATGAAACTAAAAATAGAAAAATAATAAAATACACGAATAATTAGAAAAAAATGTTTTTTTAATAATTTTTCATTTTAGTTTTAATTAGAAATTTTTTCTAAGACTGTCAAAAATAATAATAAATTAATACTGAACTAATTAGTTAGTAAATTAATAATTAATAATAATTTAATAATATAAAAACTAACGTAAATAATAAAATATTAAATTAATAATTAGCAATTATGAACTTTCATAATTAATTAATTAATTTTCTATTATTAATCGTATAATTAAATGAATAAATAAAATTATGTTAATTACCTACGTAATTATTGAGTAACATTTTAATTACCATAATAACTGAAAGTTATAATTAAAATTTTTCGTTTCTGACAATATTTACAAAATCAATCATCGAATTGAAGCTATATGTACATTTTGCTGAAAAGTAATTAATAATTGAAGATATTATTGATTGGAGTTATGAATTTACTATCTATTGATTAAAGTTACCAATGACTGATTTATAGTTTTCAAACTAAAATCGTTACAGAAACTGTCATCAATTGAAGCTATATATTGTCTTCTAAATTTGATTATATTGTGAAGCCTATGCTAAATTTCTTTTCTATAAATTAATAATTTTTTAACTAAAAAAATAATTTAATAATTTTTTAACTAAAAAAAATAATTTAATAATTTTTTAACTAAAAAAAATAATTTAATTTAATATTAAATAACAAAAATAATTAACATTTTTCATTATTGTAAGATAAAATTGTTTCAAATTGTAACCGAATGAAATTACTGATAATTGAAGAATTAATTACTCAATTAATTATAAAAATTACTTTTCAATAAATAATTTAATTGAATAAATAATTCTTAATGCTAATAAATTAAATTAATAATAAACTATTAATTATTCAAAAATTTGAAAATATTAAACTGTTTATAATTGATTTTCTCAATTATTATTCATTCTATTTATTAATTTATTTCATTCATTATTTATTGTATTTAAGTTATTTATAATTATTTTTCAATTTCATGCCTTTCGGCATTGAGAATGTATTAATTATTTAATTAAATTGTCGAACGAAAAATAAGTACCTAAAAATATGCAAAAATTTGAAAGAAAAAAAATTTGGTCACTAATTATTCAAAAATAAAAATAGTTACAATATAATTTAAATTAGGGAGGATATTTTTTCCAGAAATAGTTATGAAACGGTATGCAGTTGACTTTGAGCTAAATTTATCGGCTATTAAAATATTAATGAAAAGAAGAAAATCAATGTGTTAAGCATGTAAAATCTAAAGTTTCTTGTTAATCGTCAGTTAACTATTAAACTCTTCGGTGCATGAATTTTTTTCGTCTCCATTTTTTTTCTATTTTCCTTTCGAAAAATAAAAAATCACGTGTTTGATAAATTTAAGGAAAAATTCTCAAATTTTTCCAAAAAATGTTAAATAATTAATTATAAAAACATAATAATGCCTAGTAATAATATTAATAATAATAAAAATAATTATAATACTAATAAAAATAAACTAATAATAATAACAATAACATTAATAAAATAATAATAATTAATACTGTGAATAATAATTTATAAATAAAAAAATTAAATTTTGTTAATAATTTTAACATTTATACATCAGTTAAAGGAATTATTTTTCATGATCGTAGGAAGGAAATTTAAATGTTATCAAAAATACGAGGAATTTTTCGATGTGATACAATATGTGAGAATTTTCGACTTTCAGCCATGGAGAAGGCAGAATCATCGATAGATGGAAGTGTAGCAGATTTGGAGGATAGGGATCCAAATAATTTAAATCGACACATTCAGGTATTTATTCAAAAATTTACAATTGCAGAAAATAATTCATTTTTAATTATTATTTTTATTAACAATTTCTTTTAATAACACCCTCTAATGCATTCCAATGGTAAAAATATATTTTCCAATAAAAATATTTTTATTTGGGAAAATTGTAAATGAATTATTTTTATTTATTGGATTATTTATTTATTTTTTACTTATTTTTTTATTTATTTTTCTTCATTTATTTTTATTTATTAATTTTTTACTTATAATTTTATTTATTATTTTCTTCACTGAAAAAAAAGTTCTGGTTAGGGTATATTTAACACGATTAAAGGAAAGGAGAGGAAAAAAATAGTTTAGTTATATAGAGAAATAAAAAAATATTTTTAGAAAGTTAAAAATAATTCCATTAGAAGCAAATACATAATTGTTGATAAAATCAAAATTTTTTCATTACCAGTGGAAATTTTTGAAAAAAAAACACTTTTCCTTGAACTTATTTTTAAACTTCATTCTAGTGATTTTATATTTTGCTTGTTTAACGAAAAAAAAATTATCTTCTTGACAATCAAATAACAGTTTTTTTTTTGTTTGGAAAAACAGACAATACATATACAGAACAACCCTTAAATTACTACCAGGAAGTAAAAGTTCAGTAATTTTTTTTTACCTTATCGTTCACTGCAACTCTTTTTCCCATCGAGAAAAATAATAGATATATATTGATCCATTTTTGTTTCATTTTCTTAAAATGTCACGGAACGAAAGAAATACACCCAGCTGTATATAGTATATTGTAACAATAAAAAATAAAACTTTACTATAAAAATTACTCAACAAAGATTATATCTGTAAATAATATAAAAATAAAAAAATATTTACTTGGCAATAAAATGAAAATAGCGAAAAACAAAATTGTTGGAAAAAAATTTTTGTCTAAATTCAATATTTTCTTCTTCATTTCATTTCATTTTTTTTAAATTAATTCTCAATTTTTTTTTTTTCATTTAATGATTTAATTTTTTTAATTTCAAAAAATAAAAAATATTTTTACTTCGCAATAAAATGAAAATATTTTGCTTCCATTATTACTTTTTAATAATTTTTATTACTATTTATATTAATTAGAAAATTATGTTAATTAGTTATATATTAATTACTTCATTAATTTATTAATTACTATTTAGTTACATTTATTACAAATAGTTTACTCTCTGAGTTTGAATTAGTAAAAGTATTAAGTAATTTGAATTAGTGACTGACTTTTTGATTTTTAATTAATAAAGTTTAGTAATAAATTAGTAGAAATTACTATTATTTAGTAAAAATCACTAATAAATTAGTAACATTTTCTATTAATATATTCTATATTTTGACTACTTTCTAGTAAAATTGACTAATAAATTAGAAAAAATGACTATTCATTATTAAAATTTACTGATAAATTAGTGGAAATTACTATTTATTGGTAAAATTTACTAATTTTACTAGTTAGTAATAAATTAGTAAAAATTACTATTTATTAGTAATTTAGTAATAATTTCTTTTTGCATTTTGAATTAGTAAATGTTATTATTAAATAGTCATTTCTAAAAAATTATTACTAAAATTTACTAATTCAATTTACTAATTTAATTTACTGATTTAAGTTACTAATTAGTAACATTTACTAATTCAAACAGCAAAAAGTTGTTATTACTAAATTACTATAATAAGTAGTAATTTCTACTAATTTATTACTAAAGTTTGCTAATTCAAAATCAAAATTCAGTTTAGTAAAATTAGTAAATTTTACTAATAAATAGTAATTTCTACTAATTTATTAGAATATTTTACTAATTCAAAAGCAAAAATTCAGTTACTAATTCGAATTAGTGAACACTTTTAGTAATTCAAATTTACATTTATGCCTTTCAGCTTTGAACGTAATATTTATTTATATTAATTATAATTAAATATTAATTAATTATTACTTCGAAAATAATTGAAGCTCGAGGTCATTGACCTCCGTCGAAGGGATAATTATATTATCTATGAAGGAATTTGCTTTAGGTAACGTGGGACGACATAATCGGAGAGCCCGAAGGAATTCGAAGTCCAGAATGCGCTTGGAGATTAAGTGGTCACTGTTTTCGATTATCACGAGGTTTTTGGTACATTCTTTTGTCAGTACTGATCGCTCCCTTGATTGCCCTTTGCCTCGGTATCACCTTTGCGTGTCTAACATTCACGGTAAGTCATTGCCTATAAATTTCCCTGCTAGTTCAACACACAATTTTCATAAAATCAATATAATATCAGTCGACTAATTCTCCTTATTGACACTATTTCATTTGATAATATATTATTTCAAATGTATTTGGAAAATCATCCTCTTTCAAATAATTATTATTTCCTCATCACAATATTTATTGTAATAACAAATAATATAAGTTCTGTTTTAATTATTACTGGTACCTACTTATTATAATTATTTTCATTTGTATTACTACAATTTTTAATATTACTATTTTTAACACTATTTTTTTTAATAATTAATTAATTGTTTAATTTTACTGAATATTTAATTACGACTATTTTTATTTTAACTATTTTTGTTATTATTATTTACAATAATAATTCCGTTGGGAAGAATCGAACCCCTGACACTAAATTTACTATTCATGCGCCTTAACGACTACGACTAACAGCAACATTTATTATTATTAATTACTAAAGGTTAACTATGCTCATTATTTATTAGTTAATTATTATTTATTAAAAAATTCTAGTTAGTAATTATAAATTATTTATTATTAATTATTAATTGTTAGTCAGTGAATATAAAGTAATAGTTGTTAATTATTAATTGTTAGTTATTAATTATTAATTAGTTATCATTTGTTTTAGAAAAAATACTTAAATTACATTTAAATAAAAAATACTATTAAAATTTAAAATAAAATATTTTTCTTCTGTGTGATGTATTTTCAATAAATTTTCACTTAATTGCATTTTTTTCAAATTTACAGCAAGTTTGGTGCTGCGTTCCTTTTGTAAGAATTTTCCGAATACTATTTGCACCGATAAGAGTCTTCATTACAATAATAATTCAGGCAGTGTTGCGTCCAATTTTCGAGTCAATTGGATATTTATGTTATAATATAAGAATTTTCAATCAAAGACTTCCCGATGGACCAGATCGCAAGGATGACATGATTTTAATTTAATTTTTTTTATACAAATCTCTTTTTCTGAATTTTCATCAGTTTTTTTTTGTATTTTGTATTATTATTTATTTATTTATTTATTTATTTACATGTGTAAGTAAAAATTTTTATCATTATATTAATTTATTTCTATACAATAATTAATTGTATTCTAATTATTATTTACTATGCTTATAAAATGTGTTTATAAATTAAAAAAATATAATTTATTTTTTTTGTAAAACGAATTCTATTTCTTTCTATAAAAAATAAAAAATCGAAAAAATTATTTGTTTTATTATAAAAATAAACTAATTCGGATTTGGGGAATTTATTTACCAAAAAAAAAAATCTTCCGTGAAATTTTTTTTTATTGTACTGACGGAAAAAAATTTTTATTTTATTGTATCATTGTGATCATTGTCATAATTGTGAATTATTACTATAATTAATTGTTAATATCTCTGACTATTGTTATTTGAATATTAATTTTACCATTATATAAAAATATACCTACATTATATGAGCAAATAATAATAATTATTTACAAAAATTTTAACATGTTTTTACTATTTTTTTTGAGCGAAAATTTTGAGCAATTTTCTACTTTAATTACTAATTACTAATAATAATAATTATTTACAAAAATTTTAACATGTTTTTACTATTTTTTTTTTTTTTTGAGCGCAAATTAATTTTGTATTTTAAATACTAATTAATTACTAATTACGAATTACTACTTAATAATTATTGTTTAATTATTATTAATGAATTTATAATTAATTAACGTCTTCATTTTTCTCATCATTCAGTGCTTTTAATAATAAGAAGAAGTAAAAATATAAAAATAGATGAACAAATTTTTGTTTAATTTGTAAAAACATTTCGATTTTCTTGACTAAAATATGAGAGAAATATTAAAAAGAGGAAAAATATAAAATATAAAAATGCAGAAAAAATAAAGAAAAGTAATAATATAATAACAATATTGAAATAATTAGATTAAAAATGTTTTTTTTGTTACAATTTTTTCGAATCGATATTATATATTATCATTATATAATTATCATTATGACGATTGAAATAAAAGGAATATTACAATTATCGCATTGGAAACGATTAAGACATTTGCATATGTGTCTCATTAAATTGCAAGGTACTGCAAATTTTTCTGTATTCCCAGAATATTTATAGAGAGCATCGAAATAATTTGATTACATTATTATTATTATTATCATCATTAATCCATCAAATTCCATTCATCATATCTACAATAAAAGAAATACAAATCAATTTTTGTTTTTTATTTTCCTTAAAATAAATTTTCTTCAATTTTAAATTTCCGCAAAAATTTCGAAACAATATTTTTTGAATGAAAATAAAATCGACTTTTTATTTTATCAAAAACGTACGTTTGGCAACAATAAAGTGTTTTTCAAATAAACCAAATATTTGAAAAAAAAAATCGAAACGAAATAAAAATAAATAATTTATTTAAATAAAAACAAAATAATTTTTTTTTATTTTATCAAAAATTTACTGCAACAATAAAGTATTTTTTTAAATAAACAATACACTGTTTTTTAATTTTTTCAAAAATTAGAAACTAAAATAACATTTTATCTCAAAAAACAAAGTAATTATTATTTTTTTCTGAAAAACGTAATTTTGTAATTAATTTATTTAACATGTATTGTGTAATTTTTTTAGACAAAATAAAAAAAATAAAAAAATAGGAAATATTAAGTAATTACGTGTTAATAAATTATGATTCGATTATTGAATTTCCATTTAATGAATTTTTCCCCCTTCTTTTTTGTCGAATCAATAAATTTGAGAGAAAGAAAAAATAAGTGTTGAACTTATTCCAATTACGAAAATTCATTCTAAACCCTGATATTCACCATAATTTTTTATGCGTTTTATTGTCTCGTCAAAATATATTTACAAAATATTGTTATTTACATGAAATTTATAATAATAACAATAATTCCAAGATTTTCATACAATAAATTAATTATCGAAGTGAAATTGAAAAGAAATTTTCCCCTGAATTAAAATGAGTGCAATAAAAGTGAACGAAAAGAAAAAATTCTTACAATTGCTTGCAATATATCATATCATCAGCAATTATAGAATTACACAGCATTACATATTCAATTTTATTCTCATTGCGAAAGAGAAGAAATTCTCCCCCTACAATTATTCTTTTTCTTCTCACTCTCTTTTTTTATAAATACACTTTTCTCGTCTAAGAACATTCAGTTACGATTGTGATCTCGTATTGCAAATTTTATATCCAAAAAATTAATTTTGTATCAATTTTACATTTTTTTTTTGTTTCAACTAATTTTATTCTTCAGTTCAAAAAATGAAGATTTTAATTTTTTGCCTCTTGGGAATTGTTCTTGTTGGGGAATTAGTTTTTGCGAAGAGTCTCGTGGAGAAGAAGGAGATAAAAATTGACAAATTGATTAAACGCGATACAAAAACGGAATTATCAGCGAAAAGTGAGGAGGAGAAGAAATTGGATTTTGATTTGGAGAAGGATTTGGGAAAGGATTTGGAGAAAGTTGAACGTGAGAAAAAATCGTGTCAGGTGATAAGAGGACCTACAACACGGCCAATGAAAATTTGCATGGAATTCAATAGACCAACGCCAACGCTCTATGTTTGTGATGACAATGGATATCCTTATGGTTTATTGGGACAACGCGACGATAATTCCTCACCAAACAATTATTTAACTTCTCCAACGAGTTATTTGACTTCTCCATCGAATTATTTAACATCACCATCATCGTCACCATTTTATTTAAATCCATCAATTTACGATCCTTCAGGTTCATCTCCTTCGAATTCTCCTTATCCCTCATCGTCTCCAAATTCTTATGATCCATCTTCTTTGTATCCATCTTCTTTGTACGATCCCTCATCACCTTATGGATCAGGAAACTTGTACGGTACACAACCAACAACTCTTCAATATCCAGGAACGAATCCTTCGAACTATGGTACGAATCCAAATCAACAGATTTATTCCCTTCCGTACTACACCACAAATCCCTCGAATCCGGACTACAATTCAGGAAACTACGTCATCCGTTCGCCATACGATCCTGAGAATTATCCAAATTCTGGTGCGGAAAGAACTTGGCCCTATTCAATGATTCGACAATGTCACTGTAAATTGACGCCGATTTCTGGTCGTTATCCTTATTATATTGGTTCAACGTTTGGAAGAAGCAACCAACCAACGGTGAGTTAATAATTTTTGAAGAATTTAAATTAATATTAATTCGAGTTTGTTTCTAACTTTTTTTCTACAAACTTCAAATCAATTTTAGGGCATTAAGCTGAAATTGCCATCCGGTTATCGGCACTCATTTAATTTTTGAAAATTATATTTTGTAAATATTTTTTTTTACATCAAATTTTAAAAAATTAACTGGTTGATGATAACTGCGGGTACACATTTTAGCTTTATAAAAAATATTTTTAAAATTTTTAATTTCAATTATTCGTAAATTCTTCAATTAAATATATATTAGAATATAAAAACTTCAAATAATAAAAAAAAAATTCAATTCCATTTTTTTAAAAAAATTATTAATTCAATTAATAATGTTTATTAATTCAAAATTTATTAATTTAATTATTTCTAAGAATTCACGCTATATTGCTTTTAATATTCAATTATTATCTAAAATTTTAACTGAAATTAATTTTTATGAAATGAAAATCAATTTTTATTAGATTTCTGTCAAATTTTAATTATTTTATGTAAAATAATAGATATTGAATATCATTAATTAAATTGAGGAAAACTTTGAAAATAATTGAAATTTTGACGAAAATTTTCTAAAGATTTTTGAACATAATTGAATTTCAGCTAAGAATTTTATTACTTTTAAAAATAATTGAATTCTTTCGAAGAAATTTATTTAAATTTCTGAAAATAATTGAATTTTTGAAAAGAATTTTATTACCTTTGAAAATAATTGAAATTTTGCAAAGACTTTAACTACTTTTTAAAATAATTGGATTCTTTCCAAGAATTTTTAAAAAATTTTTAAACATAATTAAATTTCTACTAAAAATTTTATTACCTTCGAAAATAATTGAAATTTTGCAAAGAATTTTATTAAAATTTCTGAAAATAATTTAATTTCTGCAAAGAATTTTAATACTTTTTTAAATAATTGAATTCTTTCCAAGAATTTTATTAAAATTTTTTAACATAATAAAATTTCTGCTTAGAATTTTATTACCTTCGAAAATAATTGAAATTTTGCAGAGAATTTTATTAAAATTTCTGAAAATAATTTAATTTCTTGCAAAGAATTTTACTACTTTTAAAAATAATTGAATTTAACATAGAATTTTACAATTTTTGAAAATAATTGAATTCTTTCTAAGAGTTTGATTAAAATTTCTGAAAATAATTGAATTTCTGCGAATAATTTTATTACCTTCGAAAATAATTGAAATTTTGCAAAGAATTTTATTAAAATTTCTGAAAATAATTTAATTTCCACAAAGAATTTTACTACTTTTAAAAATAATTGAATTTAACATAGAATTTTACAATTTTTAAAAATAATTGAATTCTTTCTAAGAGTTTGATTAAAATTTCTGAAAATAATTGAATTTCTGTGATTAATTTTATTACCTTCGAAAATAATTGAAATTTTGCAAAGAATTTTATTAAAATTTCTGAAAATAATTTAATTTCTACAAAGAATTTTACTACTTTTAAAAATAATTGTATTTAACATAGAATTTTACAATTTTTGAAAATAATTGAATTCTTTCTAAGAGTTTGATTAAAATTTCTGAAAATAATTGAATTTCTGCGAATAATTTTATTACCTTCGAAAATAATTGAAATTTTGCAAAGAATTTTATTAAAATTTCTAAAAATAATTAAATTTCCACAAAGAATTTTACTACTTTTAAAAATAATTGAATTTAACATAGAATTTTACAATTTTTGAAAATAATTGAATTCTTTCTAAGAGTTTAATTAAAATTTCTGAAAATAATTGGATTTCTGCGAATAATTTTATTACTTTAAAAAATAATTGTATTTTGCAAAGAATTTTATTAAAATTTCGGGAAATAATTGAATTTATTTTTTTAATTTAATAATTTAATTTCTGGCACAAATTTTGTTGTATTTAAACATAATAATAAAATTTTTTTTTGAATTTCTGCAATCAATTGTAATTTTTCTAAAATTGTCCAAATATCGTACAATTTACGAACTTTTTGTCCTTTTTTAATCAAATTATGGACTTTACGGACCTTTTTTTAAAATAACTTGACTTTTATTAAAACTTGAAATTTTATTAAAATTGTTTTGAAAATAATTGAATTCCAGCGATGAATTTTATTGTTTATAAAAATAATTAAATTCTTCCAAAGAATGTTTTATTTAAATTTTTGAAAATAATAAACAAGAATAGTTAATTATGTAGTTGATAGATGAATTTTTAAAATTTTGAATCTGAAATTATTCAAAAATTAATGTTTATATTTGAAAGTATACAATTTTTTCATTTTCAAAATAATAAATGGAACAGTAACATTTACGATAGTGATTAATAATTATTACATTCATTATTATAATCATAAAAATATGAAGAACAAAAATTATAATTTATCTTTAAAAAATGGTTTATTTATATTATTTAAATTACAATCGTATTTCTTCTAAAATTCAATTATTTTTGGGAATTTTCAATTGCAATTACTCAAAATTTTATCAATTACTTTTGTTTAAGATTAAAATATTATGTCTTTATGTGAAATTTTCAAAAACTTTTAATTTTAAACCTTTTGATATTCAATTATTTCTATAAATTACTATATATTGCTACAATAGTCTCCCTAAAATTCAATTTTATTTTTTAGAAATTTTATAATTAAATTTTTTTCTAAATCAATTATTTTTACAAATTTTCAGAAAAGTTTTTGAGAATTCATTAAATTTCCCATGGGAAACTCTGTTATTTTTAAAATTTCAAACAATTTTAAAAATATCAAACTCAAAAATGAAGTTTTTAAAAATATTTGAAACATTTTGATTTTATTTTGGAAAGATGAAGAAAATAAAAGCTAAAATAAATAATCTCTCAAAATAACAAAAAAATCTTGTTTGTTCATTTTACAGGAATCAACAGTAACCCCAACAGAAGCACTAAATATTGTCCCAACAGTTGCCGCAAGTCTACCAAGCGAAGCAGTTGCCGTTGAATCATCCCCAACCTTAGAAGCCGAGAATCCATCATCACAAGCATCATCAGCAAGAACAGCAATTAACTTACAACCAATTGCACCAACATATCGATTGATAACATCGAAACCAGCTGTTGTTGGCCTAGCACCAGTTTATCGAGTAGCAACAAATTTTGGTGATTCATCAGCAGCAACAACAAATATTGCTGCAACACAATTGCCAAGAAGCGGAGGTGGTGGTATTATCATAAAACCTCTTGAAATTTCTGCAGCAATTTCAACACCACAAATCAGTAGACAATACATACAACCACAACAGCAACAAACACAACAGGAGCAAATGAGGGCATTAAATAATTTTCCCCAAGGACTCATTCAAGGTCCACGCTACTATAGAACACTCGATGAATTAAATTCCGACAATGAAGCAATACAAAATTCGTCGCAATTAATTTCAAATTCGTCTCAAATGCCTGTTAAGAATCAGCAAAAGAGATCTCAGGATGGAAAGGGAATTGGTGAGAAGCAATCTGATGTGATGAAGAAACAGCAATAGAAGAAATTTTTTTTTGGTGGATCAACAAAGTTCTTGTAGATAATAAAAAGAAAATTTTAATTTTAGATATATTGTCTTGCCTTAATTATAAGTAGCAACGATCTTTAATTAATCTGGTTTTTGCACTGTTTTTTGGAATTTAATTACAGCTTTAATTTTAGAGCATTCTAACAATTTTAAAGCTTTATTGTTATTTTTTGCTTAATTATTGTTTCGATTTTGAAGCTTCATTATTGTTTTAATGCTTAATAAGCAATTACAACAATAATTTAGCTTCAACATTAAAACAATTGTTTTAGCTTTAACATAACAATAATTTAGCATCAACATTAAAACAATTCTGTTTGTATGTTGAAGCTAAATTATAATGTTGGAATTGCTTTAATTTTGAAACATAATTATTGTTACAATTTTGAAGCTTCATTATTATTGTTATGCTTAATTATTCTTTCAATGGTGAAGCTAAATTATTGTGGTAATTTTGAAACATAATTATTGGCGCAATTTTGAAGCTAAATTTTTATTGTAACTTTGAAACATAATTATTGTTGTAATTTTAAACCTTCTTTATTATTTTATGTTTGATTATTGTTACAATTTTAAAGCCTTTGATTTTGATGTAATTTTGAAGCTAAACTATTGTTTTTATTGCTTTCATTTTGAAACATAATTATTGTTACAATTTTGAAGCTTTACCATTTTTATGCTTAATTATTGTTTCAATTTTGAAATTTTCGATTTTTAAGCAATTTTGAAACAAAATTATTGTTGTTATTTAGAAACATAATTATTGATACAATTCTGAAGCTGAATTTCAATTGTAATTTTGAAACATAATTATTGTCGCAATTTTAAAGCTAAATTATTTATTATAATTTTTTAAAAACATAATTATTGTTACAATTTTGAAGCTTAATTATAGTTCTAATTTTGAAACATAATTATTGTTAAAATTTTAAAGCTAAACTATTGTTTTAATTTTTGTGAAACATAATTATTATTTCAACTTTGAAGCTAAACTATAATTATAATTTTTGTGAAACATAATTATGGTTTTTCAAAATTAACAATTTTCAAGCTTAATTATTGTTATAATTTTGAAAAATAATTTTTTAACTACATGCATTATTGACAATAATTATCTGATTATTGACAAATTAATTGCAATCCTAAGTTTACTGTAGTAATTTATTAAAATATTTATTTATTTTCCCCTTGTTAATTCAATTTAATGAAAATATGGAGCACTTACAAAAAAAAAAAATTGTAAAAAGTATTGTAAGAAAATAAAAATTTGTGAAGTTTGTATTTATTAGAAAAAAAATACACGTTTTCTTTTTGTTTTAATTTTAATTATTGAAAAACCTTTATTGCAAATTATACGATTAATAATTCTTTTCCCGAAGATCAAAACTATATTTTTTTTATTCTACATCAATAAATAAATAATTCATTAATACATTATTTTGAAATTGAGCGTGGTATTCATGAATTTTTTTTTTTATTTGAATTTTGTCAAAAATAGCCAAATTTTACATTTTTGGCTCGTATTTAAACGTTCAAAAAATTCTGCAATGTATGTAAAAATTGCAAAAATATTTTTTTCCATTAAAAAATTAAGTTTTCTCTAAACTTGAAAATTTTGCAAAAAGAAATTTCAGTGTAGAAAGTGAAACAAAAATTCCGAAAGATTCAAGTTTCTATCGTACATTTTTTGAAAGAATTTTTCGCTATAAAGAAAGAATCCAAAAAATCTAATTTTATAAAATTAAAAATTTCCCCAAAAAAAGGTTTATACAGAGAAGAAAAAATAATAAAATATCCAAAAGATTCTGTCTTCTATTCAAAAATTTTGCAAAATAATTTTTCCTTTCCAAAAATTTAACTTTCCGCACGTAAAAAAAAATTTTTTTGAGATAAATTTATTTTTTTTTCTCCAATAATACAAGAATATATCGGTGTTAAAGATCACGTGATAAGAAGTCACACAGCTCTCGGGTAAATGTTTGTGGAGGGATTTTAGTTTCAGTTTTCGATTGTACGGTGTGCGGTGTTTGTGAACGGAAAGCAACGAACGATAAGTTTAATTTCTATATATCAGAGAAAAAGAAAAAAAAGGGAAAAATGTCAGTTCATGTAAAAAAATTTCTCTCACCACTATCAAATTATGCAAAATCAATTTCAAGCAAACGTATCCTTTTATTTTGAAATTAATTAAATTTCGAAACAATTTGAATTAAAATAAATAAAAATGAACGAGAAATTGCAAATTTTGTGTTTACACATAGTCTTGGGAAGATTTCTTTCGTCATGCCACTTCAAAATATACATTTATCATGTAGAAAAAAAAAATTTTGTTTTTGATAGAAAAATTTACTTTTCCTTACAATGAAATTAAAATTAGAATTTTCCATTTCGTCCTGTTCACGAGAAAAAGGTAATTATTTGTATATTTATTGTATAATCATTGCTTTATTGTTTATTTCTAAAGAAGGGAATTTTTAAAGAAAACGCTTATCTGTTGATTTCATTCGAGAAAAAAGTTCACGTAGATGGGGACACTCTGCAGTGAAGATATCTTCAAAAAGTCGTTAAAGAAGTTTTCTTCTTTATTTTACATAGCTTCTTTTTCAAACCAGAATTTTATCGAACGAAAAATATGAATATTTCCAATTTTTTTCGAAATTAAAAAATTTTTTTGCATTTCTTTACTTTTCGTATTGTTTACTTTTTATAATATTTACTATTTATAATTTTTATTTTTTACTATTATTTACTTTCTTTATTTCTTACCAAATTTTTTTTACCAACATTCTTCCATTGATAAAAATTTTTAAATTTAAATTTAAATCAAATTTTTTTTCGATAATTTAAATTTTCTTCTCGAAGAAGATAGGGGAATGTAGTCAAGGTTGGCCTACTGTCTAGGTAGGCCACTCGCGTTTTTTTGTCAAGTTCACTAGCGACACCTACGCGCATTTTTGTCGTAGCTTGTCTTAGTGAAACCTAACTTTTTGTTCAATTACATTTTCGGAAAATCGAAAATTGTGTTTTCTGTGACGTCGGTACAAAAAAAGCTGAAAAAAAGTTTTGTGCATAATGTGAAAAACCATTAATAAAAGATAAAAAACAAATTGAATCGTCAAGGCAAGTATGCAGAAAATTTGTGGGACTCATGGTTGAAAGGAAAACAAAGTAAAAAATCGAATCCCGAAACGTATTTCTTTTTGTTTACAACAATTCGGTAATGTTACTTACTGTCAAGGTCGGCCACTATGTGTTTAAAATGCGCAAAGTTGAGGACGAGCTACTTCATTTGCAAAAACTGCAATTCTGTATAACTCATAATATAATTGATCATCTTATTAATATTTTTATTTAATTTTATTAATATTTTAGTGCAAAACTTTTTTTTATTTATATTTATTTTTTTATATTGTTTATTGTTATTATTTTGTTATTTCATTAAGTTACAAACTGTAAACAATAAAGAATCAATTTTCCGTAACTCCAAACATGTTATTTTATTTTTTAACGATTAATGCCCTTTGAATTTTAAACATGGCCGACCTTGACTGTAATGGCCAACCTGGACTACAAATTTTTTTTTTTTTAAATCTTTATAACTTTTTCATTTTTAAACCTGTCAATTTACTTTGTACAGAAAAAATGTTCCTATTAAACAGGACTTTCCAACCATATACTTCAATTGTCCAAATTCATTTTTAAAAAAAAGTTATAAACAAAAGTCAAAAAGGTGGCCGACCTAGACTATGTTCCCCTATTTAATTTTAAAAAAGAAGAGGAATCTCTTCTTTCTTAAATATTTAAATATTTAAATATTTTCAGCTGTAAAATATTTTTTTACCATTCGAGAAGAAATATTTTTCTAATTTTAATAAATCTTTAGAAAACTCTTTCTACATTTAAAAAAAATTTTCTTAAATAAACAAAAACGAAGAAAAAAAAAGTCGAATCAAAAAATTAAAATAAAAAAAAAGTAGAAAAATTACAGAAATTTATTTTTCGGATCATTGATAAGAAAAGTATGTGGATCCTAATAGATGGCAATACTCTGCAGTAAAGAATACTCTTTGAAGTTGTTAAAGAAGTTTTCTGTTTCTGTAATTTCTTCGCACGAATTTTCTAACATAAAAACCAAATTCAATTTTTCAGTATTTTTCTAATATCTAATATAAAAAACAAATTCAATTTTTTAGTATTTTTCAAATAGAAAATTCCAAATAGAAAATCTATTAATAATTATTTATTAATTGAATTTACCAATAAAAGTCAAGAGTAAACCAAATTTTTATCTGGAATATAAATGAAAAATTTCCGAAAAGAAGAAAAAAATTTTCAACTCTGACAAAATTTAATCTCTTCAAAATAAATATTAACAATAAATAAAAATAAATATTATTATTATAATAATCAAATAAATATTAACAAGCAAATATACTGAAAAAATAAATATCTAATTAATAGCCAATTAATTTTTATTTTCTATTTGTATAGACAGTGGGTTTTTGTTATTAATTAATTATTTTTTAATTAATATTTATTATGCAACAATGTAAATATTTTTTTTGTCTAGTATTAGTAACTAATTGTTAACTAATTTTTATTTTTATTAGAATATCTTTTTTTGTTTATCGTCATTAACTAATATTTATTTTCTAACAATGTAAATATATTTTTTGGTTTACTGATATAAATAAACTATTAATTTTATTCTTTTAAAATTGATTTATTAATTAAATATTTATTTTCTATCAGAGTGTAGATATTTTTTTTTTGCTTTGTTATTATTAATTAATAATTAGTAAGTGACAGTAAACAAAAAAAAATATTTACACTGATATTTATTTATTTATTATTTATTTACTGATGCAAAATGTCTATTAACTAATAAATATAATTAATTAACAATCACAATAAACCAAAAAATGTCTCTACTGATAGAAAATAATTATAAATCATTAATTGAGGCCTTGGATCCAATAACTCGCCCGACGCTCGGAGGAACGCGCGACTGCCAGTCAGTGAGCAGTGAGCGCCTCTGGGCCACTCACTGCTACCCGACTGGTATTAGCGCGTGTCTTCGAGCGTCGGGCGAGTTATTGGATCCAAGGCCTCAATTAATAAACTATTATTTACTTATTATTTTTTATTTATTTATTATTTCATTTACTATTTATTTATTATTTTATTTACTGTTTATTTATTATTTTATTAACTACTTATTTATTATAAAATATACCAAAAGAAAAAATTTGTACGAATATGAAAAAAATAATAGTTAACAATTAATTGTTTTAGTAGAAAAAAAATTAGTAGAAACAAAAAAAATATTTAGACTGATGCAAAATATTAATTATTAAAAGTGATTAAATTATAATAATAATTAATAATAATAAACAAAAAAGAAATATTTATTCGTATGGAAAAAATACATAAGAAAAAATTTTAAATTGTCAATAGAATAAATGTAAAAAATGAAAAAGTGAAAAATTGTCTAAATATAAAACAAAGTTGAGATAAAACTGTCAATTCTCGTTTTAATAATTGATTTTTGAAATTAATATTAATTGACAAAAAAAAATATAAATAATTTAAAAAGTAATTTCACTCTACCCCTGTTTTTGTTTTCAGTTGCTTTTAAATGGAACGATCCATTAAATATGGAATCGCAATTAAATTCCGATGAAATAATGATGAGAGATCAATTTAGAGTCTATTGTAAAGAAAATCTCTTACCACGTGTAATTGACGCGAATCGAAATGAATATTTCGATATAGCAATAATGAAGGAATTGGGTAAAATGGGCGTTCTTGGTTGTACAATAAAGGATTATGGCGGTGCTGGTGTCTCAAATGTCACCTATGGTCTTTTAACAAAGGAAGTTGAAAAAATTGACAGCGGTTATCGGTCAGCATTTTCCGTTCAATCGTCATTGGTTGCGGGTGCTATTTATTCTTACGGCAGCGAGGAACAAAAGAAGAAATATTTACCATCTCTCAGTACGTATTTTTTTATTTACTTTGCAATCTGAAATTTTTTACTTTTATTAAAAAAAATTACAAAAAAAATTATTTTTTTATTTTATCAGTCCATTTGTATACTAAATAATTATTATTGATTAATTAATTAATAATAATAAAGTACATGTTCCGGTAATCAGTAAAAAAAAATTTCTACTAATTTATCATTCATTAAATTTTAATTAATTCAAAAGCAAAAAGTCAATTCATAATAAAATTTATTTATTGTATATTTTAATTAAATTTGACGTAATTTAGAAAATTTAGAAAATCTAAATTTTTTTTTGCTTCTTTGTTTATTACTCCAGTTGCTGGTGATTTAATTGGTTGTTTCGGTTTAACTGAACCAAATCATGGCAGTGATCCAGGATCAATGGAAGCAAAAGCTATTCTCGATCCTAGTAAAAAATATTACAAACTAAGTGGTAGCAAAACATGGTTAGTATTTATGGAAAATTTGTTTCTTTAGACCTCGCAATTTTTAATTAATTCCATAATTATAAAAAAGAAAAAAATATATTATATAAAATATTTAAATTTGATTCAATTGTTTAATAATTAAATTTAAAAATAAATTTTTAAATATTTTACTCTAAATAAACGAAAAAAAATTAAAAGAATAAAATATTTTACTACATATTTTGTATAAATTAAAATACTATTTTAAATAATTTAAATCGAGATTTAAATAAATGTACCTAATAAATATTTTATGAATGAAAAGCGAAACTAAATTGAAAAAAATCATTTATAGAGATTGAAAAAAAATACAAAATGAGAAAAAAATGTTCTCTTGTTAATTTAATTGCAATCAGTTTTTTTTCTTTCTAAAAATATTTTTGCATAAAAAAGTATTTTCTTCATTTAATTTTTAATCATATTCCAATTTTTTTTCCAATATCTTCTATTTTTTGATATTTATTTTCCTTCCCAAATAATATTTCATTTTTTTTTCTCTTAATAATTTATTGAATTTAGTGATTTTGACAAATACAAAAAAAAATATTTCCTTCATTTTCGAAATCGGTGGTATTTTTCGTCTATCGATATTGAGGTCAAATTGTCATTGATGAAAAAAATACTTGATCCTTTTATTATTATTATTTCGCATATTTGGATTTTATTATATATATAGGATCACAAATTCACCAATAGCGGATATAATGATCGTCTGGGCGAAATGTGATGGTGAAATTCGAGGGTTTATCGTTGAGAGAGAAGGAAATGAAGGTCGAGTTGAGACTCCAAAAATTAATGGAAAATTCTCATTGAGAACTTCAATAACCGGAATGATTTTAATGGATGATGCTATGGTTCCTGTTGAAAATATATTTCCCACTGTAAAAGGTCTCAAGGTAATAAAAATAATTTTATTTATAGTACAGATATTTTAATTTATTTTCTCAGGTTCTCTCAATTTAAATTTAGAGAATTTTATAAAAAAAAATAAAATAAAAAAATATTAATAAAAAATATATGTAAAAAATTTATTTCGTAAAAAATATTAGTAAAAAAATTCATTTCGTAAACAAAATTATTGTAAAATAAATTTAGTTTCTAAAAGATATTCGAAAAAGAATTTATTTCATAAAAAATATTATAGTAAAAAAAATCATTTTGTGAGCAATATTTGTAAAATGAATTTATTTTCTAAAAGATATTCGTAAAAAGATTATTTCGTAAAAAATATTAGTAAAAAAATTCATTTCGGGAGCAATAAAAAAAAACAAATAATAAATTAGGTAAAATAAAATAAATTAATTTTTAAAAAAATATTCGAAAAAGAATTTATTTTATAAAAAATATTATAGTAAAAAAATTCATTTCGTGAGCAATATTTGTAAAATAAATTTATTTCTTAAAAAATATTAATAAAGAATATTCATTAAAAAAAATGTATTTCGTAAGAAATGTTTGTAAGAAAAATTTACTTCGTTAAAAAAATTGAAAGATCTCGCAATATTGATAACAAAAATTTATATTCTAAAAAATCGTGTAAAAAATTCATTTAGTGAATAATATTTTGTAAACAATTTATTTTTTTTTCTTCTAAAAAAAGGGTCCTTTTGGATGTCTAAACAATGCTCGTTACGGAATTGCTTGGGGTGCATTGGGAGCTGCTGAATCTTGTTTAAAATTGGCAAGACAATATGTAATGGACAGAAAACAATTTCAACGGCCCTTAGCAGCAAATCAACTTATACAAAAAAAAATGGCAGATATGATGACGGAAATTGCAATTGGGTTGCAGGCCTGCCTTCAAGTTGGAAGACTAAAGGATGAAAATAAGTTAGTAAATTTTTTAAACAATTGATTTTTTATTTTTTTCTAATTCTCAAGTGGAGAAATTAAATTTATGCCACTTTTGATACTATTTTTTATTTCTAAATTCAGCCCTTGGCCAAAAATTATAAAAATGTAAATAAATAGTATAATTATATATTTCAATAAATGAATAACTAAATAAATAATAGAAAAATAATTTAAATAATAGAAACAATAAAAATAAAATGAAGAAATTTACCATTTTTTTTTCTTTTTTTGAAAAGAAATTCTATTCTTTTAATCAATATTACAAAATAGAAACAAATGAAAAAAGAAAAAAGAGTAATTTGAAAAATTACGAAAAAAATTCTTTTAGAGCAACACCTGAAATGATTTCAATGATAAAAAGAAATTCGACTGGAAAAGCATTGGATATTGCTCGAAATGCAAGAGATATGCTTGGCGGAAACGGAATTTCTGACGAATACCACATAATTAGACATCTCCTGAATCTGGAAACTGTAAACACCTACGAAGGTAACTTGAAAATTTTTCAATAACATTCTTCAATATTTTTTTCCCCCAAACAATAATTATTTGTTTTCTTAACTAATTCACCACAATCTTAATTTAAAAAAAAAATTTTCTAATTGAACTAAAAAAAATATTCAATTTTATAAAAATATTTTTTTCGAACTGGAAATAAAAAATAAAATGAATAATAAAAATAAAAAATAAAATGAATAAAAAAATATAAAATATAATAAAATAAAGAAAATAAAATTATAATAAAGGTTTTACTTCACAAGATATTTTTTTACTTGAAGAATTTATAATTTAAAGAAGTATTTTTTAATTCATAAATTTTTTAACAAATGCAAATTTAGAAAATGTAATTTCAAAAAATTAAAATTTGGAAAATGGAAATTTAAAGAAGTTTTTTATTTTTGTATGGCCGTTGATACTAAATAAATAAGTAAATAATAAGTAAATTTAAAAGATAATAATTTAGATAATGAAATTTAAAATACGAAAATTAAGAAATGAAAAATTAAGGAATTTAAATTAAAAAGATGGAAATTGAAAAAATTTTTTTATTTTTATAAGCTCGTTGATACTAAAAAGAGACAAATAAATAAAATTGTTAATTTATGAGATAGAAATTCAGGAAATAAAATTTTAAAAATAGAAATTAAAAAACGAAGACTAAAAATTTGGAAACGAAAAATTTGAATTGAAAGTTAAATTTGAAAAATGAAATTAAAAGTTAAATTTGAAAAATAGATCTAATAAATAAATTTGAAAAGTAAATTTGAAAAACAGAAAATAAGAAACGAAAATTAAAAAAATGGAATTTTAACAATTGGAAATTTTTTCCATGTATTATTTTTTTATTTTTTTTATTTTTGCAGGAACACATGACATTCATGCCCTGATTCTTGGAAGAGCTATCACTGGAATTCCCGCTTTTGCTGGATAAATTTATAAACCCCAAAAAAATAGAAAAGTCACCAAACAAAAAAATCAAAAAGAAGAATTTCTGTCCTACAAAAAAATAAAAATATACAAAAAAAAAACAAAGAATTTTCCTCAAAAAAAATGTACATATATTTTTATACTTTGAATAAAACATTTTTCTTTCTTTAAAATATACGATATTTTCGTCTACTTTTCTTTTTCCTAAGAATAATGTATTTTTTTTTTTGGAAAAAAATTTGCCATCATGGCAAAAAAATAAAATTACGAAAAACGTCGATTTTAATATAAAAATTTATTAAACAGAAAGGAACATCTATCCTAACAGTAGGTACCTATATTTTTTTTTATTTCACACATGAATGTAACGAAAATGAGGAACGATGTCGACAGTGATCATTCATTCAACAGAGTGGAAGGAATTTCAAAACAAAAAAAATTTCTTCTAAATAACAATTTTTTTTCTTTTTTCAAAAATTATTTTCTTTTTTTTCAAATTATTTCCCTTTCTTTTTTTTTTTTGAAAAAAGGACTCGTCGACTCCTTCAACTCTGTTGGAAATGTCAAATTAGAAAAAAAAAATATTCTTAAGATGCCTTTTCCTGACGCGTTACTCAATTCGTAAAGACATTGTCAATTGCACATTTGCAGATTCGAAAAAAGAAATGAAGTAAGCAATCAACAACAAGGACATCAAACACAATCGACTCGATTTTTCTTCTCTCTTTTTCTTGTTGTTTCATTTTTTTGTTTTTTTTAATAATAAATAAATTAAGTGTAGTAGCTAAGTAATAAAACGTTAATTATACATATCGATAATTAATTAAGTACAACACACGTCTCGTGCAAAAGTGTAAAGAAGTTAGTGCTACACTCAATACCTTTTTTTTAAGACTTAAACTGTGTTTAATAATAATTCTCGGCTACAATAAGCTCTTCGTAAAACGTAGTAACATTGTAGTTTACAATAGTTTACAATTGTTCACGTCTTGATCGTCAGATAAATGTGTCTATTACATAGGTACACATTATGTTGAAATCGAATTTTTTTTCTTTGATAAAAAAACAAAATACAAATAAAGAATATTACAAAAAAAATACAAAAAGAACACAAAAAAATACAAAAATATACAAAAAAAATACCAAAATTGATTAAAAAACGAATAATAAAATAAAGAATAAACGAAGAAACGAATATTAAAAAGAAGGAATACTAAACAAAAAAATAATACCGAAAAATAAAATCTACTTTACTGGAATTATTTGTACAAGGACTTATTTTTCCTTCTTCTTTTTTTTTTTTGCTTCACAAATTGTCCTCAGTTTTTACAAAAATTTTCTAAACTGATTTTTATTATTCACAAAAAATTCTTGTGTAAAAAAAAATTCTTCGATTCCAACATTTACAAACTTTTCACTTTCTTTTCCTACACAGGCGTAAAATCGATTCACCGAGAGAGAAAATAAATTACAATAAACAGAAAATTTTCTCCCTTCAAAAAATATTTTGAAAATTTTCTAATTTTTATTCATTTCCCCTTTTTATTATCAAAACTGGGATTATTGTCTTTTTACAATTGAAATTTTTTTTCTCAACTATTTAACAATTTTTTGTTTATTTCTCTTTTTCTTGTTTTCCACAAGAACAATAATCCCAATTTGAATATTTGTGAATTAAATATTTTGGAAAATTTTACTGTTTGCAATTTTTACGTCTCTCTCTTGGTGAATTCTGGTTTTTTTTCAATACCAAGTTTTTTTTTCATGACCATGTCATCTTCTAGGGGCTACTGTAAATAAATAAATAATAATAATAAATAATTATTATAAAAACGAACGAGCTAATTAACCTTTGGTATTTTCTTGTGATAATAACGTTAATTTTTTTTTTCTTCGATTAAGCATTGTACTAAAACATTTCAATCATTTTTCAGGATCGATAGCGCTCTAGTACTTTTTTTCATTAAATATTAATTAATAAATTTATGGCACGCTGCATTTTCAACATTTTTTTTTTTTGGTTGCCATTTTCACTAAATACATCATATCTATAACAGCCCCATTAAAGAGACCATATTTTTTTCCATGCATTCGTGTTTATTATTTTATTTATTCATTTTTTTTTATTTTATTTTATTTATTTATTTTTTTTTTTGGTTCTTACTCTCATCGCTTATGACGACTTCAGTTTAATATAATAAATATAATAGTGTATACTTGGTTTGTATTTGTATTTTACAATATATTCCCCATCAATCAACTAATCGATATCTTATTGTCGTGTGAACTGTTTCTTTTTGTTTACACTGTTTTCTCTTAAAACAAGATACAAACCAGATACTAAACGTTTCGATCAATGTTTTCTTTTTTTTCTTTCCATCAAACTCGATTTTCAATTCGGATTAAAAATATTCTTTGGCAAAAAAAGTGAATTTTTTTTTTCGAAAAATAGTATTTTTTCAATAAAATTGTAATTTTTATTCAATAAAATTAAAACTGTTCTAATTAACTCTTTCAGTTTCTAATTAAAACTATTTCAATTATGAATATTTTTTATTAATAATAATTAATTGTAAAAATTATTAACAAATAATAGCAATTATTAAAAATTAAATTTTATTAATTATTATTATTTACTAATTAAATATTAATTATTAATTATTGATAATAATAGTTAATAGTAATAATAATAATTATTATTATTATTAATAATACTAATATTAATTATATTAATAATAATAATTATTAACAACAAATAACAATATTTAAAGCTGACAAAAATTTTATCAAATTAGAGAAAAATCTCTGTTTTCATTTTAATCCGAATATATTGTCGAGTTAGATTACAAAAAATGTTCACTAATCTCTTTGTTCCAATTGTGATCATTATTTTTCTATAGGAAAAAAAAATGCTCGAAAATTACACGGTGAGATGCATTTGTTCTTATGGCCACTTTTATTTATTATCGTTTGGACCCAATTTTACGCCAATTGAAGCTAACTTTTTTCCTTGATTTTTTTTTTTTTTTGCTTTTTTTGCTTTTTCCTTTCTAGAAAAATTATACCACTTCTTTTAAATCTCAACTTGTAATTTCAAACATTTTTTCACACAAAAACTGTGACAATGAGAAGGAACAGTAATTTATTTTCATCATTGAAAACTCGTCTTTTCTTTTGTAATGGAATGTTTCATTGGAATGTGAGAAAAAAATTTGTATACAAAAATTTAGTCGAAAGAAAAATGGAAAAAGAAGAAAAAATGAAAATAATAGAAATGGAAAATAGAAAAATAAAGAAAAATACAAAATTAATAAAAATTAAATTCAAAATTAAGAGTAAGAAACAAATTTTCGAATACAATTATTATTGTAATAGAAACTTTGTAAAAAAATATTTTTAAGAAATGAATAAAAAAATTTCTGGAAAAAAAGCATTAAAACAAATTAGAAAAGTCATTAAAAACAAATTTTTTAACGAAATAATTAAACGAATTCCTCAACAAAATAATTTTTTAAAAAATAAATAAGACAAGAAAATTAAAATTAAAATAATTTAATAAATTATTAAAAAAAATTATTTTTTTTAATAATTTCTTAAATTATTTTAATTTTCTCATAAGAGAAAAAGTGAAAATCAAATAAAACAGAAGTAAAAATAAAAATAAAAATTAAAGCAAAAATAAACAGAAAAATATTTTTCTTTTTCTTTCAGGTCACAATTTTTGAGAATAATTTAAGAAACTGATAAATTTTTCTTCTTTTTTTTAAGCTGTTATCGCTATTCCCTAATTCTGTTGGATATGTGTTACTGTTAAGTATCAATATAAATATACCTTCGATTTTTACAATTTGCATTTATATTTCTACGAGACCTTGAGAATTTTTATCAAAATTGTCCGCACCGAAAGTATAAATTTTCAACACTCGCAATAAAAATATGTGGTAAAAAAAATAATATTTTCCATTCAAGTCCTATAAATAAAATACTGTGGAATAAATAAAAAATACGTATACTTAAGTACTTTGAAATAAAAAAAAAATTTTCTCTTTAATTGAATAAGAAAAAAAAAACGAAACTTCATACTGGAATGTATAATTATTTAGATAGAAAACAAATATTAAGACATAATTTCACAATAATTGTGTAAACAATAAATATAATTAATTACATTTCCAACTAATTAAATAATTGTATTTCGAATTAATTAATTAATTACATTTCAAACTAATTAATTAATTACAATAAAATACAATTTGTTTTTCAAATTTTTTTTTAATTAGTTAATTAATTACACAAAATGCAATTAATTATATTTAATTGTTGTAAATATTGTTTTTTATTCCAAATTATTGTCAATGTAAGAAAGAAAATTTTGTAATGAAGAAAATCGTTTTTTTAATTATTCATTTAGTTTTCAATAAAGGAAAATTAAATTAAAAAAAATTTTTTTTTTTTGCTTAAAAAAAGAAAAACACACACATACACTCACACACACTAAAAACCAGCAACTTAACAGTTTCATACATTAGAGAATTGTCAAATGATGATTTTTTACAAAGCCTTTTTCCTAATAATATATATAAATATATTATCATTTTTCTCTGAGTCGGATTATTTATTCATTTTTATTAATTAATCAATTAACTTCATTTTGAATAGCAACAAATTGATTTTACATAAAAAATTATACACTATTTTCACCGTGAAACTAATTAATTGAAAATTTAATTAATCACATAATCAATTAGTGATTATTTTAATTATTTTAATTAGTGATTTATTTTTCCATTTAATTAACTATCCACTCAATTATATATCCAGTTAATTATTTATCCAGTTATGTAATTATAATGTAAATTAATTACACAGTTAATTAATTATCCAGTTAATTAATTATCTAATTAATTAATTATCCATTTAATTAATTATCCATTTTTTTGAAATATGTTAAAATATTTTTTTTAAGAAATAATTAAATTATTTAATTATTCAGTTAATTAATTAGATAACGAATT